TGCTGGAAGTCCAAGCCCCTCACACACAAAGCCTCCTTTACTCCCTTCCTCCAACCTTTCCTAGGCCGACCCCTACCCTGCATAAATATTGCAAGTGTGGCGGCGGCCTTCCCACTCCCACACTGACCATATCTTCCCATTCTTTCCCTTCTGAAAATAGTGTGTTTGTGAGGCTAACTGCACTAGATCACTAGTTTCATAAGGAAAATACTGAAACACTGTACGTATTTATAAATAAGAAATATTGTATAAAACATAATAGAGAATGTAAAGAAATAAACTAGTTTTATAAAGTGTACATACACTGGTGGAGGTGGAGGTTGGAAAAGATAGGCTACTTGCTACAATCTTAATGCGACACTGTATCGCTGAACTTAATTGCTACACTCTTGATGCTTAATGCAAGGCAGTACCAGTAGAAGTGCTACGCTCGTACTGCCTCGCAAAGTCCACAACACAACCCGCACAAGCGAGGTGTGCGGGTTGTGGGTTGAGGGGGAAAGCTCACTCGTAACTCGGATTTTGGCTCATAACTCAGAGCAAAAAATTAACCAAGCAACAGCTCATATCTCCTAAGTCGAGGTTCCACTGTATACGTATAATAATGTGGGGCTGAGAATACAAAATGTTCCCACTACTAGTCGTCAACCTATTTTTACCAGACAACTTTACACACTATTCAATTGGCATAGATTCATCTTGGATGTAATTTTCCAGGAAAGCACCACCCATACAAATCAAGATCATACTGTACAGTACTGTCAGTAGTTCCAAAACAAATTCACTTTAACACTCCTGTCTTCTCCCACTAAGGTAAGGTGACCCAACAAAGATAACACTTTCATTGTCACTCATTCAATCAGTCTTGCCAGAGTTCAGATGACTGACTCTCCAAGCTGCAATGAAACAGAAATAGTAACTTTATCTATACACAGTTTCTGGCACTGAAGCTTAACACTAAGTGAATCAATACAGAATATCCAGGACATAAGGCTGAAAAATTAAAATGACTGTAGAAGCAATGTTGACAAATTTTTATAAAAAAAAAAAAATAAGTCTCAGAATCTATGAACATAAAGAAAAAAAGACAAAGTAGTACTATATGTAATTTATTGCACTTTGGAATTAATTTCCAAACTAACTCCTTGGCCTTCTCTTCAAATGTTACATGGTATTGGAACTTCAGATTGTCTTTCTGAAAGCAGTGTCATATTATATGAAATTTACTTGAATTTTTCCTTGGGAACTAAGAGATTATTTTCATCTTCATCTGGCATTATTCTAGTCCAAACTCAACTGTATACCAGGTATATTACTCTGCTTCCACAGCTACTCTTTCTGAGCTATAATTTATCATCAGCTTGTTCCTGGGAGCCTTTCAATTATTTCTTGAATGCTTTACATTTCTGACCTATAATCTTAACTTGCTGTTTTCTCATCTAAGTTGGTTTCATTATTACTCAACCTTCCTTGGTATGATGCCTCTATCAATATTAATATTTTATAAATGCATTACACATTACAAGAATTAAACAATTCAGTATAGTTTATAATCATTCTGAGACCAATCAAAATTTGCTGATGTAGTATCAATTTGGATCTAAGTTCATTTTTATTTTCAAGTGGGTAATGTTATGGTACCAGATTCCCAGTTCTCCCCATCCCTCATGTCAGTGAATACAGTTACCATCCAAAGTCAGAACAAGCGACAATTATCACAGCACAATGAAGTCATGACAATCTGTGGTAAAGAGTTGCTACTGTTTAAGATACGTACTAATTATTGTCATCTGTAACTTTTTGGTTGCCTGATACACAATTCCAACTGACATTAAGGTTACTAACATCACCCATTACTACTACTACATCATACACAAATATGTTGCTTTTCTGGCTCTGTTTAAGAGGCACACAATTTGAGTACAATTTTGCTATTCACATTGTGGAAAATTTCAACCAACATGGAGCGGTATGTTTCATTGAATTTCATTCGCAAGCACTGTTATGCAGTTCATTATAAATATTATATTTTGTATAGGACCACTCCTTGACCCTTTTTGTGGGTGGAAAAATGGGCATTCAGTAATGGCTAATTCATTTAGCAAGTTACTGAATTTATCCATGATTGCCTCAGAGTGATAATGTTTGAACATTAGGTTAAGTATATTAGATTGCTTTGTCTCTTCGTTTTGAAATATACTATGGGCATTACTGCAGTATAAAGCATTCATATCAACCAAATTGTCTTAAATCTTGATCTGACAATTTTTTTTTTAATTTTTGGCCACAACTTAGAAAAAATATGACTAGAGGCAGAGATGTAAAAGTAGAAGAGGTGAAAGAATGGAAGGGAGAGAAAAGGAAGGACAGAGAGACGAAAGTGGAGGGAGGGAGGGGTGAGGAGGAAGGAAAAGAGGGAAGGGATGAGGAGGAGGAGGAGGAAAGAGAGGAGGAAGGAGAAGAGGGAAGGGAGGAGGAAGAAGAGGGAAGGGAGGAGGAAGAAGAGGAAAGGGAAGAGGAAGGAGAAGAAAGAAAGGGAGGAGGAAGGAGAAGAGGGAAGGAGGAGGAAGGAGAAGAGGGAAGGGAGGGAAGGAAGAAAAAGGGAAGGGAGGAGGAAGGAGAAGAGGGAAGGGAGGAGGAAGGAGAAGAGGGAAGGGAGGAGGAAGGAGAAGAGGGAAGGGAGGAGGAAGGAGAAGAGGGAAGGGAGGAGGAAGGAGAAGAGGGAAGGGAGGAGGAAGGAAAAGAGGGAAGGGAGGAGGAAGTAGAAGAGGGAAAGGAGGAGGAAAAAGATGGAAGGGAGGAGGAAGGAGAAGAGAGAAAGGAGGAGGAAGAAGGTGGAAGGGAGGAGGGAGAAGGAAAAAGGAATCAGTCAAAAAGAGGAAATGACATGAAAATTAGGAATGGCAGGAGTCCCCCCATGGAGGCAGCTATCTATTGTGAAGAACTAACAATAGTCTAGCTACATACATCTGTTGAGTACTGGTTGGTATAGCCTCATGTGTTCAAAAAAACTGAACATGGTTAGTCTCAGTCTCTCTGTTTTCTAAAGGAAACTAGATTAAGTGCATTGCATCATTCATTTGATTTGCTCCTTAATGAAGGTATGAGCTTTGTTTTCTCTACATCTTCAGTTTATTTTCATTTTCCATACAATTTAGGGGCAAAAACTGGACAGCATATTCAAGATGTAGTCTAAAAACTATGTTTTGGTGTTATTTACACAATTTTTAACCATGAAACTTAAAATTTTGTTGGTTTGCTTCTCACAGGTAGAAATTGTTTTAGATACTCAGGTCACTGCTTAGGGTGAGAAAAAGGAGAGGGCAGAAACAATGAGGAAAGGAAGAGAGAGGAATGAAAGAGAAGGAGGAAGAAGAGAAGGATAGGGAGAGGAATGAGAAGGATGAGGAGAGGAAAAGTAGAAGGTAAAGAGGAAGGAAAGGGTAGGGGAGAAGAAAGGAATGAAGGGAAGATGGCCAAAAACAATGGAAAACAAGGTGGTAGGATTAAAAGTTTAACAATCTTGACACACTTCTTCATGTATTACTAAAATAAATATTTTGCACCATTTGTGCCACTGCCAATAAGTGATACTAATACACTTTTTATTAAGCTTAATTAGCCAAAACAACAATGGGTTAGTGGAGGTACATATGTGCATGCACGAAGCAAGTACTACATATACTAAAATAAAGAGGCAATGCATGGATGCTTCAGCCATCAAACAAGACCCCAATATTCAGAGTCATAACATACGATACGAAACTCACCGTGCAACAACATCCAAGGCAGAAGATTGGCAGGAGAAGTTATTGGAAGAAAAGAAGAATGAAAGAAGAGAAGGGAAGAAAACAAATATTTGTTGCCTTAAGATATTAATTTCATAATAAATTATATGTGTGTGTGTGTGTGTATATGTATGTATGTACATGTATATATGTAGGCATGTATGAATGCATGCATACATGTATGTGTGTATGTAGTGTGTGTGTGTGTGTGTGTGTGTGTGTGTATAATATATATATATATATATATATATAAAATATATATATATATATATATATATATATATATAAATATATATATAATATATATACATATACATATATATTATATATAATATATATATATATATATATATATATATATATGTTTATGTGCATTTTATGTATGTATGTGTGAGTTTAAGTGTAAGACAAATGCACACCATAATTTTTGTCTTTGTGAGGACACAGGAAACTATTAAATTTATAATATCAGAAACGCATTACATGAATGTGAAATCGAACATACAAGCTACATATGCTTAACATTCGGTGGATCAACTTCCTATACCTTACAAGAATTAAAAAAAAGTATATTGGATATTACAACACATTAAATGTACTGACTTTGAACTGATGGCCATAACTATGTTATGATGTGCAGCTGATCGAGAGACTAATAACCATTTTCTGATAAAGGTGAGATAAATCATTTTCTTTTTAAATAATGTACATTCATTCCCTTTATCCACCACCCATAAACATGTACAGCTTTGTTTATTTGCTTTCGAGACTGTATTTAATAGTGCTTGATTAAATCTGATCAAAAACTAATTTTTCACTAATATGTAATGAAAGGCTATGTAGAAACCATATATTTACCTTTCTTTAAGTTTCATGGCATTTTAATGCTTTTTAACAAAAGAATTTTAGTCATCACTAATAAAAATCTTGCATTTTATTTATCTCTACTGAATTAACCAGAAAATTAAATCTGCAAATATTTTATGCACTGTGAGCAGCCACAATGCCATTCTCACAAACATATCATGAAATCAATTAATAATAATAATAATAAAAAAAAAAAGGTTCAATGCAAAACAATGAAACTAGTGCACTTTGGACAAATTTCTGATAATATTACCCATGTTGCAAGGAGATCATGATCTGGGAGGTCTATTTACTAATTACACATGATAGGAGAGTATTGGGTTGGCAGCACTACACACTACTTACGTTGAGCGTGTAACAGGTAGAGGTAGTGGGCAGGGGCTGGTGGGGCGTGGCACACAGGTAAACAGAAGAGCCACAATGTTAGTATGGATAAGTAAAGGGACAAATGAAAGCCCAAACTGTTACTTTTGTTTAGAAAAACTGTAAAATGCTACAAAGTTTTAAATTATTAAAATGAGGGAGCAAATAAAGATTGCATGTTAATTATTTCACTAAAAAAATTTTTTTGCTATCACTATTGAGCAAAATCTGAAAAGAAAATTGTAATGTAAAGGTGTATCCCCAGGTGTATAGTATATACAAAATTTCTTTTCTTCCCTATTTCAGAGTAAATTATCCTTGCTTAAAACAACCTTACTTCTTAATCACTAAGTGAACTGCAGCTTCTATGACCATCAAGTAGTTGAGAGGCCTTAAATACATGTATTAATTACAGTACAGTATTTACCCACCAATTCTGCTATACATATTTACATGAGTGTTACAGTATACTGTAATTTAAACTTGCATATAAACTTGCATCCCATGAGGTAGTTTTATTAATACTCTGTGTATCAGTTTCTCATTAAATCTTGTACGTGTCTATAACACTTCAATATACCTTATCAATACATTTAGATGCAAAATATTAATATAGTTTGTACAGCCCAAAAGTTAAAGCACCTACAGGACAGCAACCACCCAGGGAGGTACTACCGTCCTGCAAGGTGAGTAAAACAAAAGCCTGTAATTTTTTTTAATGAGGTAGGTTTGTGGGCTTTTTTCTGTTTAAAAATATGCAAGATTTCAGGTGTCTTGCTACTTCTACTTACACTTAGGTCAGACTAACATGATGTAAAGAAATATACACCCCCCTTGGGTTTTTTCCCTTTTCCCAGTTCTTTCATTTATTTTTGCTTATTATATGGGGAAGTAAAAAGAATTCTTCCCCCGAAAAGCATGCGTGTCATAAGAGGCGACAAAAATCCCGGGGAAAGGGGGCTAGTAACCCTTTCCTGTTTCATTATAAAGTTAAAAAGAAAAGCTTTTGTTTTTTTTTTGAGCCCCCCTGCTTTGGTGGGTATGGCCAGTTTTTTGAAAGAAGATTTTAATAACAGTACAGTAGTGCTCTTTAAAATAAAAACAAGGAGGGACTGTCGGGAAAAGGTGGTCAAAAAAGTGAAGAATCAATAAAAAAAAGATGAAGTCAATGAAAAGACCAACAAGCAAAAAAAAAAAACACGCTTTAAAAAAGATCCCTACGAAACACCTAAACTATTAAAGGAAATATTAATACTAAAAACTGGTTATTCCTTACAGAGGTGCTAATAAAGATAATTTATCGAAAACATAAATAAAAAAAACTAGTATGCTACACTGGTGCTGTCCTGGGAGACAGTAATGGTGAAGCTGGAGGTGCTGTCCTGGGAGACAGTAATGGTGAAGCAGGAGGTGCTGCCCTGGGAGACAGAAATGGTGAAGCTGGAGATTTTGTTCAGGTAGTCGGGAATTTTACGCAGGAAGGAATACATATAAATGACCTCATAGGGGACAGGAGCCGTAGTGGGGAAACAAGTGTAGTCAAAGATAAGATAAAACCAATATTGCAAACTAGAAATACCACAGGAAATAGAAAAAAAGAGGACTCCCTGCAATAGTGAGGATATATTTTCCCAAAAAAAAAATGGTGGAGCTCCATTTTTTGGTGCTAGGGGGTAGGATAAGACAGGGAAACAGACCAAAAGGGAATTTCAGTCACGAAACCCAGGCAAACAGAAACCCCAAACCGTGCACATACTATGCACTTGGTATCTGCAGGATGGGAAATCTGGAAAAAAAAGCGGGACGTGCAACTTTACCACCCCAGAAATGCAGTGCCCCCTATGACAAACAAAAAATGCAAACTCCCCTTCCCGTAAGCTTTTTTTACCCCGAAAGTGTACCTTCTTACGGGAAAAATTGCATAAAATTAATTGCCAGGCACACACTAAAAGGGGGCAAAAAAATACAAAAAACCCGGCCTGGGAAAACCCGGGTAGCCACAGATCAAAGGGAGAGGTTTTTAGTGCAGGAAGGAAAAAAAAATGGCAGGAAAATGGCAAAAATCGTACACCCAAATCCGTATTTCCCGGAGTGGAAACCCCAGTCGATGGCCCTCCACTCCCAAAAAACAATACAGTAAATGCCGGAAAAAAAAAAACCCCCCCGTACCAACAATACCCCCAGTCCGATGGCATCTTTTTTGCAAAAATACAGGGGGTTAAAACCAGCAGCAAACAACAAATTCCTTTCATCGTTGGGGCTACCTGCAGAGGGAAAGGCAAAAGTTCGGGGCTTTCACTGGACCCCCTAAAGGATCCTGACTCGAAATATGGATCCCCGGTTCAACCCATACAGATGTGACAGATGAAAGGCAAAAGGGGGGGGGTTTGGCCCCGTACATTGCGAGTCCCTTAAAGCCTCAAATTTTTGTAGTGGAAGTTTTAGCAGTAAAGGTCGAGAAAACCCAAAACCCAGTCATTGTGGTTTTTCAAGCCTCCCGATGAAAAAATCCCAGCAATTCAGGAACAGCTGTTAAAAATTGACCACTGTCTGTAAAAATCTTCCAGCTCCTGCACCAAATCTTGCTCCTGGGGGGGTTTTAACTTAAGGCACCAAAAGGAGGAAAATTTGCAAATAAAATTTTTTGCAGTAAAAACACAGGGGTAGCTTTGAGAAAATCACACCCAAAGGCTTTTAAAATCTCTGCACAAAAATTTAATTTAAACCCGCAAATAATAGAGCCCACTAGACTGGAGAATACACTAGACCTCATCTTCACTAACAATGATGATCTGATAAGAAATGTCACCATATCAAAAACAATATACTCAGATCACAACATAATTGAGGTTCAGACATGTATGCGTGGAGCCCCAGACCGACATAATGAGATTAGTCATGAGGGAGCATTCACCAAATTCAACTTCAATAACAAAAACATAAAGTGGGACCAAGTAAACCAAGTCCTAACCGATATAAGCTGGGAAGATATACTAAGCAACACAGATCCCAACTTATGCCTAGAACAGATTAACTTGGTGGCACTCAATGTATGCACAAGGCTTATTCCTCTAAGAAAAAGGAGGAGTAGATGTAAAATAGAAAGAGACAGGCACTCCCTTTACAGGCGACGGAAAAGAATAACAGAGCGACTAAAAGAGGTCAATATATCTGAAATGCGTAGGGAGACACTGGTCAGAGAAATAGCAAGCATCGAACTTAAGCTAAAGGAATCTTATAGGAGTCAGGAATCGCGGGAAGAACTAAAAGCCATAAATGAAATCGAAAGAAACCCAAAGTATTTCTTCTCCTATGCCAAATCAAAGTCGAGAACAACGTCCAGTATTGGGCCGCTACTTAAACAAGATGGGTCCTACACAGATGACAGCAAGGAAATGAGTGAGCTACTCAAGTCCCAATATGACTCAGTTTTTAGCAAGCCGCTAACCAGACTGAAAGTCGAAGATCAAAATGAATTTTTTATGAGAGAGCCACAGAATTTGGTTAACACAAGCCTATCCGATGTTATCCTGATGCCAAATGACTTCGAACAGGCGATAAATGACATGCCCATGCACTCTGCCCCAGGGCCAGACTCATGGAACTCCGTGTTCATCAAGAACTGCAAGAAGCCCCTATCACGAGCCTTTTCCACCCTATGGAGAGGGAGCATGGACACGGGGGTCGTCCCACAGTTACTAAAAACAACAGACATAGCCCCACTCCACAAAGGAGGCAATAAAGCAACAGCAAAGAACTACAGACCGATAGCACTAACATCCCATATCATAAAAATCTTTAAAAGGGTCCTAAGAAGCAAGATCACCACCCATCTAGAAACCCATCAGTTACACAACCCAGGGCAACATGGGTTTAGAACAGGCCGCTCCTGTCTGTCTCAACTATTGGATCACTACGACAAGGTCCTAGATGCACTAGAAGACAAAAAGAATGCAGATGTAATATATACAGACTTTGCAAAAGCCTTCGACAAGTGTGACCATGGCGTAATAGCGCACAAAATGCGTGCTAAAGGAATAACAGGAAAAGTCGGTCGATGGATCTATAATTTCCTCACTAAGAGAACACAGAGAGTAGTCGTCAACAGAGTAAAGTCCAAGGCAGCTACGGTGAAAAGCTCTGTTCCACAAGGCACAGTACTCGCTCCCATCTTGTTCCTCATCCTCATATCCGACATAGACAAGGATTTCAGCCACAGCACCGTGTCTTCCTTTGCAGATGACATCCGAATCTGCATGACAGTGTCCTCCATTGCAGACACTGCAAGGCTCCAGGCGGACATCAACCGAATCTTTCAGTGGGCTGCAGAAAACAATATGAAGTTCAACAATGAGAAATTTCAATTACGCAGATATGGTAAACACGAGGAAATTAAATCTTCATCAGAGTACAAAACAAATTCTGGCCACAAAATAGAGCGAAACACCAACGTCAAAGACCTGGGAGTGATCATGTCGGAGGATCTCACCTTCAAGGACCATAACATTGTATCAATCTCATCTGCTAGAAAAATGACAGGATGGATAATGAGAACCTTCAAAACTAGGGAGGCCAAGCCCATGATGATGCTCTTCAGGTCACTTGTTCTATCTAGGCTGGAATATTGCTGCACACTAACAGCACCTTTCAAGGCAGGTGAAATTGCTGACCTAGAAAATGTACAGAGAACCTTCACGGCGCGCATAACGGAGATAAAACACCTCAATTACTGGGAGCGCTTGAGGTTCCTAAACCTGTATTCGCTGGAACGCAGGCGGGAGAGATACATGATTATATACACCTGGAAAATCCTAGAGGGACTAGTACCTAACTTGCACACGAAAATCACTCACTACGAAAGCAAAAGACTTGGCAGACGATGCAACATCCCCCCAATGAAAAGCAGGGGTGTCACTAGCACGTTAAGAGACCATACAATAAGTGTCAGGGGCCCGAGACTGTTCAACTGCCTCCCAGCATACATAAGGGGGATTACCAATAGACCCCTGGCAGTCTTCAAGCTGGCACTGGACAAGCACCTAAAGTCGGTTCCTGACCAGCCGGGCTGTGGCTCGTACGTTGGTTTGTATGCAACCAGCAGCAACAACCTGGTTGATCAGGCTCTGATCC